GAATTCTTGGTGAACATGAGAGAGACCACGAGCTTGTTCGTGAGCGGCTTGTTGCTGGAGGACATTCCGGTAATGTAGACAGGTTGAGCAGTCGGTAGCTGGTAGAAAATTGAATTCTGAACAACTAAATATTGTTTTAGACTTATGCCCATTGGCTCCCGCTCTACTGAAATCCGATTGGCCAAACTGAGCCCAAATAGTGACATGTGATTGGTCTAAATTGTAAATTTCTCATTTTTGAGTACCATAGTGAGATTTAGACAAGCGGAACTGCAGGCACGAACGTTTGTTATTGGCCAAATTGCCCAAATTCTGACATGTGATTGAGTAAAATCCGTATGACGTATTTTAATTTGTATAATCGGATCAAGTGAAGTGTTTTGGCCAAAAGCATTATAACAATATGTTGCTAATATGCTGAAAAAATATTTTCAGTAAGAATACATTATGAAATATGTAATATGCAATATATTGTTTAGCCTTATTATTTTTTGCTCTTCACTGTCTCAAAGCATCATCTCTAGAGAAGGGAAACGTGAAGTCTTCCCGAAGCACTACATTCAACCTCCCCTGCCGAATGTAGTTGTGGTAGCAGTGTAGATAGCCGTCACGCAGTAACACATCGCTGTAAAAGACAAATAATATAAAAATCCAAACACTTGAGCTGACGTAAACAGGCTATGCTCGAAACTTCAGAGCTTCTTCGTGCGCAGCGCGACTTTGTTAATAACCGCTTCAATCTATCTGTATCGGACAGCTGTCCAAGGCTTCGTGCACGTTCATCTCCGCTGCGAAATAATGAAAACGTCGACGTAACAAATTTCTGAAAAAGTAAGGCGGCAGTGGAACAGATCCCATGTTGTCCATGCATTCAAACGTTTCGGAGCTTGAGAGGTCAAAGTCGTCGTGACGATACCTTGGCGAGACGTACGCTGGATTGAGGTTGTACATACGTGTGCGTTGGCCCATGATAGTCTTCTCCACTCCATTGGGGAATGGCTGTAGTAGTGCCTTGCCGTTAAAGTAGAGCACTTCGGGTACTTCTGTTTCGTTTTCAGTAGGAATGAAGTGTGCCATACTCCCACACATTGTATTCAGGTGAGACCGATCGTCGTTTGGTACGGATTCTATCTGGCTCATTCCCCAAGGAGAGAAGAAATAATCTTGATGTGCCAGCTCGTACGCGAGCCAAAACGCCTCCTTATCACCCCATGAAAATTGTAAATAAAATCGGGTAATAAAAATCAGCTCCCGCAAAATATCCAACGCCTTTCCAGCTCTCGTCTTGTCGATCAGCACCATTGACGAGTCCATTTCGTGGGCAGTCTCCCCTCGATATGAGAACTTTTTCTTAACTTGCTCGGAAGCCATAGCGCCACTCAATCCAAACTTGTCGTAAGGAAACTCACGGATCAAATAGTGCAAGTACATTTCACCTTCACTTGTCAACTTGGTTAAGAATGCGTCCATCTTGGCAATCCGGTCTCGGAAAAATGTCGTCCCTGTCCGCACATAACCCGGCAATGTGCGGAGAGCTGCCGGGTCGCGCAGGAGCACAGCATCTCCATCCAACAAAATCACTTCGCGGATCTTTGTGTGATACAACGCCAAAGGTTTGATCCAGTAGCTCTGGAACGTTTTAGCGTACTTAACGTCGCCCTGAAACAGATTTTCAGATCCATTCTTGGACAAAACCTCAGTGCACACATCCACGAGCTCCACTCTTGGATCATTGCGAGTCAGCAATGCTCTAGTCTCCTCCGAAATCTCTTCTGGAAAGCAATAATAGACTTGAATAATCTCTGTGTTGCCCAAGCAGCGCAGTTCTCGTATGAGCGATGCGCCCATGGCAGCAATTCCGTTGTGCAGACACATGACGATGCCTCGTGCGTATTTGTCTTCTGTCGGAGAATTGTCGGTATGATGCTGGAGCCGTAGACTTAACGGTTTCGATCGAGGCCACTGGGACTTCGGTAAGGCCTGATACTGATTGGCAGCGAACGACGTGGTGCTCACGTAGCACAATATGACTCCCGATGTAAAGCACCACACACAAGCCAACAACCACATAAGCTTACTGCGATCCACACGTGACATTGTGATCGTCACCGGTCACAATTTTTAATGTGAGGCGCTAACAGGCCAGAATGTTCATCCGTGACTAAGCATGTTTTCTACGCTGCTTACAAACGGAGATACTGTATCTCAGATACATATCCAAACCTGTTTATCCTGTGAAACCTCGATAGCGCGTCAACTTTCGCTGCTTACGAACGCAGATACTGTATCTCTGATACAGGTCCTATCCTGTTTGTCCTGTGAAACCTCGATGGTGCGTCGCCTCGAATGCATTAAGAGTGCAGTACGGTGCCTATCCAATGAACGGCGCAAGCCGTAGCGTAGCATAAACATCGCATGTTAAGCTCATCCAGAATGAACTGACTCAGCGAATTTGGAAATAACTTGTACGTACCGGTAGTATAGAACTTCGTTTTTTTCACGAAGAATTATTAGCTGCAACTACAGAAACTTTACACTTCATCTTCGTGACGAAGTGCCCTTTGTCATGCGATTTACACGCTCGGGTTTCATTGAGATGCCATCCAGCCATTAGTGGCTCGCGATATCGCCGTGGTCCGTCTTGATCTGCGCATCAAGATCCGCAAATTGGTTGAACATGAAGATTTCTTTGGCGCGTTGGTACATGATACTGAAGTACCGATTCAACATAAGCTTTTTTGGTAGCGGCAAACCACGGTTAGCGGTGAAGCACGTATCGATCACGCGCAAAATGTCCAAGAACAGCTGATACTTGGTAGCCGCGACCATTGTCAAGTTTTGATCGGGTAGGTCGTTCACCATACTGTTGGTAGACAGCAACGCAGCGATTACCGATAAGAAGCTTGTCCCAGCAGAGATCATGCACGACACACCAGACCCTTGATCTCCAAATCGACTCAAGATACGCCGTCGCCGCTACGATCATGTCACAATCGGGCTTATGTCGACACCATACATTCTTCATACACTCCCGGCTGCATATGATGAGCGCCTTGCAGCGACTATAGCGTTGCGGCGAAAGCCTCCCGCAATTTTCACACAGACTAACGGGGTGATCTGACA